AAACAGAATAAAGGATAGAACTCCAATTCTTTTTTTTTTCTGCTAGAGTAATAGCCTATCATCAACAATCAATAAGGAAGATAAGCTAGTTGATCAGCAATAAGAGGTGTGACAAATTTGGGGTGGGGGTGGGGAGGGGGTGTACAAAAACTGGGATGGGGAGAGAGACCAAGAAGGAGGGGGAAGCTGGTAAGATTGGATGGGCACGATGTTGAGGAAGAAAGACAAGGGGAAAAAATCAATGGTCAATGAGAAAGGTTAAACGATTAAATGCATAAAACAAGGGGTGGGGGCGGAAATAGACAGATAGATAGATGGATATATAGATTGATAGATAGATAGATTGATAGATAGATAGGTAGACAGATAGATAGATAGATAGATAGATAGATAGATAGATAGATAGGTAGACAGATAGATAGGTAGACAGATAGACAGATAGATAGATAGATAGATAGATAGATAGATAGATAGATAGATAGATAATATTCATGAAAAACACCAACCTTTGGCTCCTTGATCATTTCGGTTGAAAGGTCGAAGGTCACGCCCGTCAGCTGTGATGTCCACAAAGGCGTAGATGATGTGCGTACATAGATGGGGGTCAATGTCTTCTGGCAGGAAGTTGCCCAACCCCTGACGCGTCTGCGCAAAGCTGCTGTAGTAGCAGAAGATCTTTTTGCCTGTGCATAGTCATAGAAACGAGGGACTCAGTGGTGATTTTTAAAATGACTGGTATAATAATGACATCATTCTGTTACCTCTTAGAAACCTCTAGGTGCTTGACCTCTTTTTTTTTTTTTGGTTGCTGAGTAGTTTCAGCTCACATTCTGTCCAAATACATGTAGGTCGTCTACGTGCCAAACTTTGAAAATGGATGGTTTTTAAGGGCTTGATAAATCTGAATAAAATCTTACTGACCTTATCGACAGGACTTCCAAACTTATATAAAATGTAAAGCCTTTTTAAGAAATACCGTATCGTATTTACGCTGTACAAAAATGAAGTGTCAAGTGACTTTTAACTTTTGAATTATTTAGGTTAAAGCAACGCGAAAAAGTTGAGCAACATAGAAACGTGTTAACAAGTGAATTTTATTGAATAGAAAAATGTGTTAGTATCAAAGACGCCAACGGTGAATAATCTCTAGTACACTCAACTCAATTATGAGATTACTGTAACTTTCAGTATCGGCGGTCACAAATCACAAATGTTTCACCTTCCTTAGTTATATATGGACAGAAAGATACAATGCTGAAAACTAAGCCATAGTATATATTCAAGGGTACAAAATCTTCAGGTCAATAGAATAAACAAACACTAAGCAAAATTTCAACAGATTCCACTGCACAGTTGTGTAGATATTGCTATTCAAAGCTAGGCCTGTATTTGTGGAAATATTAGAGTTTTTTTATCCTTATGGAGGAGCAATTAAGTATATTTTCTCATCTCACCTCATCCTATCTTATCTCATCACATCTTATACTCAGATTTGAAACCATGTTCTTATTGAATACTGATGAATTTAGTCCATTATAGTCGTTGTTGTGTGAGTGTATATTAGAAGGGGGGCATGTAATTTCAGAAATGATAGTAAATCAAGATATCGTGAATATCACATTACATGAAACCAGCATAAATTTACAGCAAAAACACGCTTTATGACTACCACTGATTCTCAATTCAATTATGTATACAGGCTTTTAGATGTAATGTATCTTAGTATGTATTCTTGAATGCCGTAGCCTGTCTTAAGATAAAAATTATGATTCGCTTGACTGTAACTTAGTTGACAGAACTTGGAAGAAATTTTTAATTTCAGAAGAATTGTACGGTACTTGTAAAGTATAGGTTATATTAGTGCCGAAGATAGAAATGTTACTAGAGAGTAACATACCAAAACAAAAAAGAAAGAAAAGAAGGAGAGATCAGTGTGATAGATTTCTAAATGTAAAATTGCAAGGAAGTATGCTGAAGTTTGCATAATTTCATTGCAGCTAGCGTGTACTGAAAGGCATTGTCCGAGAAGCCACTTAAATCATAGTTTGGCAACAGGACGAAAAGCGTAGGTAAATGCGGCACAGACACTAGCCTAGCTCTATTGCTTGTTGAGGAGAAACACAGCTTTCTTTGCACGCCACAGATATTATGTTTATGTGGGAGAATTTCGGAAATTATAAAGTGTTTATTCGTACACGTTCTGAAAAGCAAATAATTTCAGGGACTACCTTCTGCCTCTATAATGTGATCCTTCAAGGTGTAGTGGAACTGTTGGATTCTGTGCCTTGCTTACAAAACGCTAGAACTCCTTTTCCAAGTAGGGAAGATAATTATCGTATTGAGTCATTAAGCGAAAATGCCATATCAAACTCAAACTCACTCTGTGTTGACCCTAACTGGCAATGTTGAAGCAACCCGCCTCCTAAATTATCTAGTTCTTATCGATGGTGGTGCAAAAAAAGAAATCATTTTCAAACATGTAATCAGAGACAGAAAACTGTTTTTTGTCCCTTCAAAATTTGTGTTGTTTTCTCTTGAACTAAGCCTATACTATTTACTGTATTTTGTACCCAAGCAGTACAATATAGGCAGCGCTTTGGCAAAATATAAATATAGAAGACAGGAAGACTGTACAGAATTATATGGTGCAGACAATACAAGTGCACCTATGAACCTCTCTTTGGGTATCGTATACCACAAAAATGGGTCATAGTAGAAAATGCAAAGTCAGCAAATTCATCATAAATATCATCTTTACATGTAGTATATATTACTCGTTGTTGATTATGATTGTGAATAAGGATTAATAATGATTTAAAACATTAATTTTAGCGCACATTACGGCTCAACAGTGAGTTCTTTTCGTCTTACAGTCTATATCATTACTCCAACACAGCTTTGAACACTTAGACAGATGCGCGGCTTCCCGGAAAGAGTACGATGCAAGAACCTGATTACGTGCGTAAACGCTATCAACAAACTATCGAGGTCTTTCACTTCTATAGCTGTGTACCCATTCTCATTTGGGTAGAGAGGAGAATAAATTCTATTGAAGTACCATTCCAAACGACAGAATGATATATCATATATTATGTATAATATGAAATATATAGACCATTCGAAAATAAAGAAGTTTGAGATAGATATTATGAACAAAATACAGCAGAGCCGTGGCGCTGTGACCGTTGACCTAATTTTCCTTTTGTTCATAAGAAGTTTGAAGTACAAATTTGGTTAAGCGTTTCGAGGTAGCGCGCAGACAACATGAGTTCAATTCTCCTGTGGGGAGAATTTGTAATACCTCTGTCCGTTGTATCCCTCTCAGCCCAGGTCGGCCCTGACAGGCAGAGTCGAAACAGGCCACCTCCTACATTTTGATCATCTTACTTGTGTCGATAAGATAAGATAATGCTTTATTATCCCAGAGGGAAATTTTTCTCGGCTGTACAGGACCGTAGCAACACGTGCAGATATACATAAAAAATCTAAATTATATATTATTCTCATTAAAATTCAACATGAAAAGTGAAGTAAAGCTTACAAAATGTACATATCACATCAGATGCATCATTCAACCACATGCAGGGATTTGATTCCAAGACCTCCGGAGGTATATAGATACATACTCTAAAGAGCAATACACATTATGCTTATTCTGACAATAGCCTTATGCTAGATGGTAAAAAACGTTTATATCTTTCTTTCTTTGTTTTTGGAGGTACACATCTGCCCCCGCAGGATCTTACAATTTGTGTGGAAAGGGGGTGTGATGGGCCGTTTATAATACTTTTTATCTTTTTTTTATACTTGTGGTGTTATACATTTCATCAATTCTAGTAAAGTCATATCAAGAGATCTTGCTGGCTTTCTTAATGGTTCTGTCAATTTGTTCTTTATCTTTCAACTTAAAACATTAATTGACGAAGACAAATGCCAAAACACGAGAGGCAGATATAATATTACGTTCTCCCAATGTTAAAGCATTTTCCATAGCGCATTTTCGAGTGTCTGTACTTACCGTGTGAGATGGGAACCACCAAAGAGATGGTTGCCAGAACAGCCAGGCTGAGGAAACTACACCTGCCTAACATTTCAATAATTGTTCCAGACGATTATAATTATCGTGAAACACACTTTCACAAAACCCTCGCTCCAACGAAGGCGATTTTCGAAGAAATTCTCAGGGCTGACGGCTAAATTCGTCCAATGAGAGTCAAGAACAAAAATATTGCGTCATTCGCTGCGGAGATGCAATATGGCTGACGACGACGACGATGACAATCCACGTCCTCTGAGTATCAGCGACGTCTGCTGTCTGCTGCTGTCTGCTGCTTCTCAAACCACGGAGCAAGCTCAATGTTCTGGCGCTGGGAGATTCTGCCTCTCTTTGCTGACCTGGTGAGCCTTTATACCTGTTCACTGACCTTTCCACTCGGCCTGGGCAATGCAGGACTTCCTCCCGGCTTGCCAACATTTGTCTTCGGCCCCGCGCTGGCCGGCCACCTGCCTGGTTTGTTTGGTCAAGTCCTGACACACACAAGACAGACAACTAGGCAGAGGGTCGTTGCTGCGCTCACAGTTACTTTTCTTTTGTTCTCCTTTCTGTGTCTTTTTAAGCCTTTTCTTTTTTTTCTTCTTTTTTTTTTCTTTCGCTTTCCGTCTGTTGTTGTCTTGTGTGAAACTCCATCACGTAATCAGAGCGTTTACATGCAATGGCGTTTCCGCCCTTTTTTCATTACTTCTTTTTTCTCTTGATTGATTTTTTCATTTCTTTCTTCCTTGTCCTTTTGTGTCTCGTTTAGGAATTCTCCCTCATTTGTCGTTTAATCAAGATGGCGCTCCATCATGCTGGAGTATCGGACCGATGGCCCTGGTTCGAATCTCAACCCTGGCTTTTTGGTACTTGTTTTGGGGGAATCTTCAGATTCTCCATCCAATTGGTCCGGTCCTAGTGGAAATGTATGTTCAAATCGGAGGTTCTTCCTTTTAGACAGCCGTACAGTGTTCAAAATAGGCGTTACATCTACTCAACAACATGCTACAGATGTCTCCCAAAAGTCGCGCACCATCCTGGTTTGCGCCAACAACAGTTTGGTTGCTAGTTGATATTGGTCTATAATAAACAAATCATTGCTCATATTTAGCTCTTTGAGCAGCAGTACGAGCATAGACTCTCTCAAGAAAGCTTCCTCTACCACACCTGAAAGTTTCATGGGAGACCTTTTGGTATAGTACGTGTATAATACTTGTATAAAAATACGTTAGTTATAGTACGTGTAGTTATTCCATCCCTTACTTCGTCAAAGGGATGTTAAGGGACTTGTATGAAGAAGGGTTTTCAAGATGGTTTCGCGACTTTTGGGACACCGTATAGTATAAGCCAGTAAAGTCTACAACAGAAACATATCAGGGTACAGGGCAAGAAGAAGGCCAAGAAATACCTGGCTCAAGGGCGTGAAGGATACCCCGAAAACATACAACATTCCACTTAGACCGCCAACAAACTTGCAAGAGACAAAAATCCCTTTCTCCCTTCTACACCCTAGAGTCTAGAGGTACAAGAGGATGGATAAAGTAAGTAAGTATGATAGAACAAATTTGAGATCTTTGACCTCATTGATAGATCAAATGGATTAGAGAAGCTGCTGCTGTGTGGAAAGACAGAGGGAAAGAACTCACATAGATGGCCTAAACAACTTTGGAAGGAATACCACAAAGAGAAAAACCGAAATGACCAGGAAGACATAATATATACAAGGGGAAGGAATGGGGCACCATGATCGTCAATGTCTGCTCCAGACTTGACACACAAAAAGAGGAATATAACAAGACGATTTTTTTCTTTTTAAATTTTTTTTTATTTTGTCTCTTTTTTATAGTAGAGGATTTTACGGCGCTCACAACTGCATAAGGTCATATGAGCGCCAAGGGGTGGGTGTCAACTGAGAAGTCTTTACAGGGAATCAGACTTAGACTGCTCACCTCTCTACCTTCAACAGCACAATGTCTGCTTCGACTATCAAGGCACCCCAAAATAAGACACAAGGGAGTGACAAACATACAAAAGAAGTAGAGGAAAATGACAATAGTAAGGATCAGGAAAGAAAAAGCAGCAGTTCCCTGTTGTAGATCAGGCACAGTTATGAGCTTGACATGAGTCGGCCCATTTACAATTCTACTATGCTTGAACGAGA